CCTAAATAAACGGTGTATTATAGTTTCAGTTTAAGCATAAAGCTTTTTCTGGACCTTTTCCCCACCAAGCACCTGTGCGTAACAATGATAGACATATAAATAGCAGACTTCAGACCCTGCCCCCCAGATTGGAGCTGCTGTTAATCAGCACAGAGGCTGAGGGCATTGGTGCTGGGGTGATTCACAGAGGGGGCTGGAGTGGGTCTAGGCTCCTTATGCAGTTTATTAATTTAATTCCCTTTGACTGCTCCATTCCCTGCCTGGAGATGAAGCAGCATTTTTATTTGAGGACAAGAAGCCTGCTCGTGGGTTCTTGAGTTCCCTTATGCCAAATGTGCATGATTCTTCAGATTCTGAGACTGCTCCCTGACACTGAAATCTGGGAGGTGAATATTATGAGTTGCAGGACTCCCAGGAAACAAGAAGTGGAGGGCAAACTCAAAACATCTATTGCAGGGCTTCCCTGGTGGCGCAGTGGTTGAGAGTCCGCCTGCCGATGCAGAGGACACGGGTTCGTGTCCCGGTCCGGGAAGATCCCACATGCCGCGGAGTGGCTGGGGCCGTGAGCCATGGCCGCTGAGCCTGCACGTCCGGAGCCTGTGCTCCACGATGGGAGAGGCCACAACAGTGAGAGGCCCGCGTACCGCAAAAAAAAAAAAAAAAAAAAAAACACCCCCCAAAAACACAACTATTGCCAAATCTCCCACTTCTTGGGATTTTGCCACCTCTTGCCAGGGGTTCTTGTGGGAGCCTCCTAAATTACCTCCCTGCCTCTAGACTCTCCTTATCACCACCCTCCACTCCCACCATACCCCTCCCACCAGAGTAAGGGTAAAGTTCAAACTACAGAGCAAGCTATACAAGGGTCTTTGAGATCTGGCCTTGTTGAGTGCTGGAAGCAGGGAGGCTGTTGAGATTGCTGCTGTGTGCTGGGAGAGGGATGGTGGTGGCTCATACAAAGGCAGAGGCAGCTGAGATGCCGAGAAACTAGCTGTTGAAAAAGCTCGCAGGAAGTAGAATCAGCCGGAAATAAAAAAGCAGCAGGAAATAAAGTAAAATCAATAATTAGGAGGATAAAATCAACAGGAAGTCAAATCAAACCAACAGAAAATAAAATAGAATCAACGGAAAGGAAATCATTTGGATGGGTTTTTTTTTGCGGGGGGAGGAGTAAAGAAGGGAGAGGAAGAGTAGGGAATCTCTCCCCAGATTCTTTCCTGGAACCGGTGTGGGTGGGGTTGCCATTCCCTGTGATGGGAAACACAACAAGAGGATGTCTTAGCCTGGGCCCCCTGCAGACAGAACCCGAGAGAAAGGCTTGTAGTGGGGCTGTTTATTGGAGAACATAGTACCAGAGAGAAGGAGGGAGGGCCTGGGGAAGTGAAACAATGCAAGGAGGCCTTATTAAACTGGCCACCACTCTGAGCGACTGCTCCGTCCCACGGACACTCTGAGTCACTTTATGAAACGCTTCTCAGGACTATGCTCCTGGGGGACGGCAGTGGGAGGCATCGGCTCCTAATCCCATTAGTCAAGACCTGCCTGTCGGTGTTAACTTCCCACACTTCTGGTTGGGCAAGGATGAGTGCCCAGGATTGTGACACCCATGAGAGGAGCCCTGGGACAGGGCATAAGAGACACATGGCCAAAAGCTGAGACCAAGCGACCCTGTACAAAGCTGATCAAAGCTCAGCAGAAATGGCCAGGGCAGCAGTGGCTGGAAAAGTGGTGAGGTGGGGGCGGGGGTGTGTGTGTGAGAGCCTTGTACTCCGTTAGAGAGAGAGGTACGCAGGAGGCATCCCATACCCACTGCAAAGGAGAATATCTTAAAATAGAAAGGTCATGCCCCTGTGCTTGAGGAGCCCACAATCGCATAGGAATGCACAAAAAGGGACAAATTACACACAAGGTGTTAAGTGTGCCCTTACTGCTAATCTCTGTCAATGTCTATTTGCTTTGTGGCAGGTACTGATGTGAGTTAAGTGCTTTACCATGGATTTGTTCATTTAATTCTCACCGCAATTCTGCAGGGAGGTACTATTATTATCCCCATTTCACAGAGAAGTGATGCATTGTCTGAACGTATAATCTAGTAAATGGCAGAGCCAGGATGCAAATCTTTTAACCCCTTTGGAGTTATCAAAGGAAGGAGAGGCTGAGTTTGGTGGGTGGGAGGGGGCAGATCAGTCACGAGTTGATTGGAATAATACCTCTTGGTGTTTGTGCAAAGGTGTTTGCATCTGTGATTTAATCAACGCTAATAATACAAGGTAGGACTCATCATTATTATCTTACATTTACTGAAGGGGAAAGAGAAACCCAGAAAGAGGTGAAGCATCTTTCTCCTGGCCACCCAGAGCATCAGCGGTGAGGTCACTGCAGGATGTCGGCCAGATGACAGAAGTGTAGCCCCCTTCCCCACTTCCGCCCTCTAAGTGGGCAGCCTGCTCCGGGAGAGGGGTGACCAGCAGGGGCCTGGGCCCACTGGCATTCCAGTGCTGTCCCCAAGTGAGTCAGGCACCACTAAACAGACTCAGTTTTACCTCTGGTAATTTCCTCCCTCCATAAAGATTTGGGGCTACAGAAAAGAATGGATTCCTCAAAGCTGAAAGCAAATGCCACGTGATTCCAGACACAGGGGGAAATATTTATCCTCCTTTAGATCACATCTCCTGGGTCTTGGGGCAGTGGGCCACCAAGCTTACAGCAGCAGTCACACTCCAGGTAGCAGAAGACATTTGTGTTCCCTTTGGTTTAAGTCAAAAAAGAGAGTTTTCGTGATGCACAGAGCTGCCTGGACAGTCATCGTCTCCAGGGTAGGTGGGCTAGTCCTGGGGTGAAACCATGAAATGGACAATCACAAGGTATATTATAAAGTAATCTCATATATACACATTTATATATATTTATATTCATATATATATGTATGTATAGTATATATATATATATATATATATATATAGTATCTATATAGTGCTCATAAGGTGCCAGCCTCCTTGAAATCCTCTCAGCAGCCCTATGAAGCAGGTACAATTAATGTCCCCATTTTACAGAGGAGGAAACTGAGTCAAGCAGAGGTAAGTGATTATCCAAAGTCTCACAGGTAAGCAGGAGAACAGGGATTCAAGCCCAGGCAGCCTGGCCCCAGAGTTGTACTTTTAACCTCTAGCAAGTGTGACCTGCCTAGACGAATGAACATCGGACTGGACATTGGATTGGAGATGGACTGAATTGGACAAGTTGCCCAGATGCAGCTCATTGAGTAAGATTTCTGTTGCGCTCACCCCTCCTCCCCATCTACCCCAACCCCTAAGTTATTCTGCAGGCAATATGACCCCAAGGGGTACTGGAACGCATTGCTTTGACCTCCTCTTTGCTGCTGGAGATGACCCATCTGGCTATCCTTCTTGTGACTCAGAGGTTATTTTCCCTGGAAATGTTTGCCGTGAGCCTTACTCAGCTCCTTGGCCCAGTCGTCTTCTAGTGGGACATCAGGGCTTCAGGCTGGGGCCAAGGTCCCCAGACACCCACACCTGCCTCTGGAGGAGCAAGCACGAATGACTCTGCTTGCACTAGATCCTGGGGACAGAGGGTGGAAGGATGCCTTAGGAAGAACCCAGGTGCTTTCACCTGGACCTTAGTGGGAGATGCTTAAGAGTGAAGACTTTGGGACACCAGTTGCTTCCCAGCTGATGACCTTGGGTGATCTGACCCCTCGTGGGGCCTCAGCTTTCCCATCTACAACCTGAGATGATTCCTAAGGTTCTTCTTGTTTTATTTTTATTTTTTAATTGTTTTTTATACATAGGATTTTATTTTGCACTGCTATAACAATTTCATAGTCCAAGGGAGAAAAAGAAAAAGAAGGATAAAACCACCACACTGAGCAAATTACTAAAGCTTTTCTACTTTTAACAGGATTTTCCATCTGGTAGGTTTATTGTCATATCCCCTTCAAAATCGACAAGATTATAGGTTGCCACTGAAAGAAAAATTTTACACAGTCACTGTACATCAAGGTTGAAAAACTGTCCTGCGTGAAAAATATACTTAGCAATCATGTGAATAAAAGAAAAAGAAAATGTGATTGTGTTCAAGGAAAGATTAAAGTCCCCGTAATGTGCCATCTAAATGTGGACACTCACTCCTCCTGGAGTCTCTCAGGTGGGGGGAGTTCTTTCTTCCGCCCACCTCACTCATTATACTGTGTTTTTACCCAACAGTATGCATTAAGGCAAATAAATCCTTTTCTGAAGAGGTCTTAAAGAAACTGTGGACAAATAGCAAACTTTTGGCATTAAAACAGGTTAACACATACATAGCCTTTAGGATGTACATTAAGCATATTTCTCTTGGACTAGTGACAAGAAAAAGATGAACATGCTTGTTAACAATGTCAAAAAGTTTAAAATTCAGTGTCCAAGCAATTCCTAATGATGCTTCTGTAGCTGTAAGCTCTAAACAGTATAGAATTTATGCAAATGCATTAAAGAATCCAAGCTTGGCAAATTACACCCAAGCAGGTTATTAAACTATATATACAGAAAGTAAATGATAAATACAGAATTAAAAGAGTCCTTCTGTTTTCCTTAAAGCCTTGAAAATTGACAAACTTTTGAGGACAATTCCATGATATTAAACAGTAGGTAACCACAGGTGTGGGGAAACCTAACTACACAAACCGATTTAAAATACTCAAGATGACTTTGTAGTGTTCAATACAATTCAGTTCGTAGGTAAGGGCACAAGACAACATTGAACAAAAATAATCACGTCAATTGACCTAGAAATCAAACGCAAATAGATATGAATACAATCTCCAAAATCTGTCTTTTTAAGTGAGCATTAACTATTTATTCAAAGTTACACAAGAATTTGAAGGATTAAAGTCTTCTTCTGGGACATAAAGCCATTTCGAAGAGTTTCATGTCTCAGCTGAGCAGGTGGGTGAAAGAATAGGTGAGTAGCCCCTTCTGGGCAGGGAGACAGTAAAAACAGACTCAACAGCAGCCTCCCCCGGCCTGCTGTCCTCCCTGACTGCCTGCGTGCGTGGCGTTAGTAGCAGCAGGCTGAGGGCCAATTTTAATGCCATTTGCCTCATTATTAATGTCAAAGACTCCTTCTTGGATTTTTTCATAAATTTCTTTTGCTGTATTAATAAATGCCTCTTCTACGTTAGAACCAGTCTTAGCAGAAGTTTCCATGAAGATAAGTCCATGTTCTCGTGCAAAAGCTTCACCTTCTTTTTTTACTTCGCTTCTAAATTCTAAATCACTTTTATTTCCAATAAGCCTAATGACCATGTTGGAATTGGAATGCTGGCGGGCATATTCTAACCAGGTTGTCAAGTGGTTGAATGTGTCTCTCCTTATAATATCATACACTAGTAAAGCCCCTGCAGCACCTCTGTAATACGATGGATGGATGGAACGAAAGGGCTCCTGACCTGCTGTATCCCGAATCTGAAGTTTTATCTGTTTCCCATCAATAGTTTTCATTCGAGCATCGAATTCTACACCAATAGTAAGGTCATGCACTGGCTGAAACCTCTTGTCTGGAAACTGTAGCAATAAGCATGATTTACCAACGCCTGTGTCGCCGATGATAACGTACCTGAACAGACAGGCGTAGGCCACGGCCGCGGCCGCCCGGCGCCAGGGCGCGCGGCTCCCGTTCCGCCGCGCCCCTCACCACGGCGCCGCTCGGCCTCGAAACGCCAGGCTCCGCCCGCCGCCGCCGCCGCCGTCGTCGTCAGCCGCCTGGAGTGATGGGCCGAGAGGAAGCGGGGGAAATCGACACCGTCGGAGCCAAGGGAGACGGCGCCCAGCGGAGCCCAGCTGAACAATAACAGCGGCCCCGGCGCCTCCGCCCCTCCTCCCTCTTCTGGTTTTAACAGCCCCCGAGTCTGACCATTGTCTTCCGCCCAGATCCTCCGATGGCTCCTGGATCCCTAGGTCTGTCTCTGGTCTCTTTTCAAAAGCAGGTAGCACAGCTGGGTGATTCTTCAATGCAACATGCATTGCTACAGGGAGGACGTCGGCTAATACCTTCTACTGCTCCAAACAAAATAGCCTTACAGTCTTTTATTATATTTTTTTAAGAGGAGAATAAAAATGGAGAAGTAAGTACCCTGGTAGAATGTTGACGTTGCCTTCCTGGTTGAATCTAGGGGAGAATCACTGCTGAAAAAAAATGCCAACAAAATGTATCTTCTTATTTTTTAGGTTGAGAGTGAAATGGTGCATTTTCTAGGCAGTTACAGCTTCAAGACAAGTTTCCTATCTCCCCTGGTGGTAAGATGGCCACCCCTAAGCCCCTACCATGAAAAAAGTCTGTGGCAACCACTGTAGGGACACAAAGAGATAAACAAATTAGTGCAGCAAGGCCTTCCAGGTATTGTGATAAAGGTCTTTATAAATCATGATGGGGACACAAAGGAGAATCGGCTCCTCTTGGGTGGACGGTTGGGCACACATCTGCTATTAGTTAGGACAAGTAACCCTAGCTGCTGTGAAAATCATGCCCCAAATTTCAGTAGCTTAATGCAATACAAATTGACGTCTCACTCCAATGTCGGCATTCTTGCTTAGGGGCGGTCTTTCCCCCCACCATCCTGGGACCCTTCCACACTGTGGCTGTGCCATCCCCTGGGGCCTTGGAGTCTGCTGCTGGATCCTCTGTCTCTGGCTTGGAGATGGGAGAGGAGAGAGACCAAGCCCGAGAGGTTCTCATGGGCTACGTTGTGAGCGACTCTCCTCACTTCTAGCTCACAGTCCAGAACTCAGGGACCCAGGTGCATCCAGCTGCAGAGGAAGATGAGAAATGGCGTCTAGCTGCATGCACAAGACGAAAGGAAGTAGGTTTGGAGCTGTCAGTCTCCACCACGAGCCTCCACACCAAATCCATCTTGTTCCCCTGCAGGTATGTGAGTGCACACTCCCATCTGAGTGTGCACTCTGCGGGGGTGGTCGGCCGTCTGGGTTGCAGCTCCGCTTCTTATTTAGAATTCCAGGCTGGAGCAGAAGGTTTTGGGCTTAAAAGGTGCTCTGTACGTTTCTGTTGGCAGGTTGATGAGTGCATGAATGCTTGAGCTGGATCTTATTTGAATTTAATATAATTTTGAACTAACACTATGATTTGCACAGGCAATGCTTCATTGTATACGAGAAGAGTTCTAACTGGCAAAGGAAAATTCTTTGAATGTAAAGGACCTTTATCCCTTGCAAGCCTACCTGTCCTGACCATCAGATCAAGTCTTAACACCGTCATTCATGGGATGGCAGACTAGGGAGATGGTAGACGGAGTGCGCCGTATGAGTTCAACTAGCCTGTATGCTATCGTAGCATGAGTCTAAAACCCTTATCTACAATAGGGTGGCAAATATCATCATTCTATGCAAAAAAGATGACTTTTTCTTTGGTAATAACTCTCATTTGGGGGCTCACGGTGGTAACCGTGGTAGGTCAGGACCTCCCCCTCCAAGGGCCATTTGCCATTAAGTAAAGACAAGGAAAGGATAGTGGGAGTAACAGCAGCTGCTGTTAAGGAGACCTTGAAATATTATCTAGACCAAAGTTTCTTAACTTCAGCACTATTGACATTCCGGGCTGGACCACTCTTTGTGGTGGGGTCTTTCCTGTGCCCTGTAGGGTTTTCAGCTGCATCCCTGACCTCCATCCACTAGATGCCAGTGGCACCCTCACACACACATCCGAGTTGTGATGACTTAAAATGTCTCCAGACACGGCCAAATGCCCTTGGGGATCAGAATCACTGGAGTAGAGAACCCCTGATGTAGGGAATCCCTGATGAGACGTGAAGATGTGGGGCCACATTTCCTAGTTCTTGCTCCTGCTCTCTTTAAGGCACAGCACACGAATCCCCAGGCACTATTGTACCTGTTTAAGGAAAATGTGGCTGAGAACTCTACCTGAGCTGTCAGCATCCCCTACCTCCTGAGCAAAATGTCGGGTTGGAGGGATGGGGGTGAGCCATCCAGGCTGCCTTGAAGGGTCCATTCCAGCAAGATTGTTCCATGCTGACGTGTTTCACCAGGCAGCATCCACAGAGTCCATCCTGATGGAACCTAAAAGGGCATCTCTCCAGTCAGGTTCAGGGGACTTGGTCAGTTCCAGCTACTTATGGAGAGAACCCCCCAGAACCAGGAGACACAAAAGCCAGCACATTCCTCAATCACTGCAGCTACCAGAGGGGCATCACCCTTCTCTGCACCCATTGCCTGAACTCAGAGAACAGAGAGCTTTGCTGAGTGTGACTCCTTTACCTTCGATAACAAAGCTTGTCGAGGGCTTTCTGGGTCATGACTCTTCACGTCTGATGTCCTCCTTGTTTCAGCTCAACAACCTTGGAAGTTTCATAGAGTGAAGATAACTAGCTCCATTTTATAGATGAGTAGACTGAGATGAAGGGAGGTTGAGTGACTTTTCCAACAAGAACTCAAACCTCAAATCATTCAAATCTCAAATGATGGTCCTTTGAGTCCAGGTCCAAGGGCTGTTTCTACACTTGCAGAGCTGCTGTTCACAAAGTTAGGTGGGATTTGGGGCTGTTCAATCCCTGCAGTCATTTGCCATGGTGAACTCTGGGGACATGTATCTGTCTCTCCCTCCCTTAGGCAGGATGCCCTGGGGGTGGGAACAGGATCTCTGGGATCTGACAGCCGTGTTCATGTTTTAGCTCTGCCGGGCCCATACCTTCTCACCTTGAGCAAATGGCTTAACTTGCCTGACCCTCAGTTTCCCCACCTGCAAAACGAGGATAATAATAGTCACTACCTCCCCTGCTTGTTGTGAAGATGCCACGCGGAGCCGTCAGCACAGTGCTCGGCTGCTGTCCTGCCCACTCCCCGTGAGCTGTGATTGTCTCTTGACTTTTTTTCTACCAGTTAACACAGCTGGCTCTGCTCTCCATAAAACGGGGGTGAACCCCTTATAGCAGAATGGGTATTGTTTTTGTTTTTGAGAAATGTAATTAAAATCTGGAAAGAGTTCACTAAATTCCAGACAGAAGATAAGCCCTCTTTATGTGGCTTGTCCCCTGAGTCTGTGGCATACACCATTCTTTAAAATATTCTCTCTCTCTCTCTCTCTCTGAGCAATTAGCGTTTATCAATTTAGCCATTTTTAATGAAACAGGTGATTAGGGCTCAGTAAGCTGGCAACGTAAAGTAAGTAGAGGGCATGGAGGGTGGGAGTCCAGCTCAAAGGGAGGCCGGGGGGTTAACTGCATCTTTCAGAGGGTCTTGGAGGGGTTCAGGAGGAACAGGACACTGGGACACGTGGATGATCGAGGGCTGGAAGGGCGCTCCTGTCAGCCTGGAATTGAACAGCAGGCATCGCACTCGTATTCACGTCTGAGCCTCACAACCACCTAATGATGAGGAATGACTCTTCAGGAAGGTCTGAAAACCCCAGCCTGTCTCCAGTGAACTGATGGATTTATGGGCTTTTCAGTGCTGAGGTCCTTTAATTTGTTATCCCAGATTTTGTGCCTTGTATATTATTATCTCCATTGACAGATGGGGAAATCGAGGCCCAGACTAGTTAAGTGTCTTAAACTGAAGCAGCTGTTTACTGCTTAAAGCAGCAGAGCTTTGTGGACACCAAGGCCTACTCCTTACGCGGCACCGAGCTGTGTCTCAGCCTCTATCAGAATAAGGTGGGACAGCCAGAAACGAGGTGGGTCTGGACCAAAGGAAAGACAATGACATCTTTCTGGGGAGAGAGCTTGCTGATGCATTCAATGGAGAAACAAGTTTCACAGCATTTAGCACTTAGCATTTTGCATTCCTCCCGGCGTGGGCAGTCCTAGGTTTGGGAGACAGAGACGAATTAGATGGATGGGAACCAGAGGGGCTGAGTGGAGGCAAAATGGAAAAGAAGCCAACGTTCGGAAGGAAGGAGTGATCCTCAGGGCATGGACAACTGAGCAAAACAGTGGGCATCCAGAATACATTTGGAGAAGGAGAGACAGAAGCTGAGTATGTAGTCCAAGCACCTTCCTAGTTAGAATAACCAGAGGGATTTTGCAGCGAAAATGAGAAGCGGGGAGTGAGAGTGATTTCTGTAACTCAGACCGTGGTAATGCTCATCAAAGACTTAACATTCAGTTCTCCAAACAGCCAGGAAAGGGAACCATTTGATCCCTATTTACTTTCTGTTTCTAGACTCTGTTGTGTCCCCCTTCTCAGAGCCACAAGGAGAATTTCAGAAGGCATCACCTGTGTTAAGCCAGCAGGCCGTGGCTTCCATGTGACTCTTTTGATGCACTTAAATGGTCCATTTCCCAGTTATTGTTAAGACTATTATTAAGAATGTTTTATGTGAAGGAGAAACTATTTTCTCTCTTAATCAAGTTTTCTACCTTGGTCTGTAAAATAGAAACTTTTTTTTCTTTTGGAAATGTTGGAAAGTGGCTTCCACCCTTTAGTCCACTCCTGTCAATTGATTACTTCTGGATGCAGGAAGAACGACTTAATTGGCTGGAGGGATGGGTAAAGGGGCTGTACATGAGTGTCTTGGACCCTTCTGGGCTCTTTCTATTGGCCTCTGCAGACTCTAGAGGGTAGAGCTTTCCTCCCACTGCTCTCCATGGGGTAAGCAGCCCTGG